AGGGTCCATGTACCTGACATTAACTTTAAATTCAGTATAATTAAGTCTTGAACTTGTAAGCCTCCTGACTCAGTCTCCTAACCACTAGCTGAGTTGCTCATTTAAACCTCAGATCTATCACGTTCTTCCCTGGGACCCTCTGTTTAAAGTCTTAGCCTTTGTCATACTAGGCCTTTCCAGTTTAACCTCAAACAACCTTGCTCGATGAGCTTTTGAGCCCATACATCCCTGAAATGAGCCTCTCTTCTTTGATTCGTGCTGTTCATTCTGGCAAGAGAGCATCCATTTGCACTACCTTCTCTTACTGGAAAGTTCCTCCATGGGTTTAAAGGCACAATTCATACATCACTCCTTTATAACGTTTCCCAGTTTCTCCAGAGGATTTAGAGTGTTCTCTCCTGCATTACCATAGCATTTTATGATAACTGATGGACTAGAGATACATCCAAGGTAGTATATATTTACAAAAAAGGTAGGAGAAACCTGTGAGGTCTTAATCTCTATGCCAATCAGTAGCTATCCCAGACACCAAATTCAGTCCTTTCTGAATTACTAGATAAGACAGAAAATAACAGCCAAGTAGACTATTATTTCAGGGTGATATGAGCAATAATAGAGATAATCCCAGGAGCTGAATAAACAGATGGATGCGGCCATGCCTCCAAGAGAAAGTGAGCACTGAGCTGGGCTGTTCGAAGCATCAGATGAAAATGGCTTTGATGACTGTCCAGGCTTCATGTCGGCAATTCTGAAGAAAGGAAACTGTATCCCGTGTCTTTGTACACTGTAGACATGCAGCAAATATTTAGACTATTGGGTAAATCGGAAAAGCTTTGGTTTGTGAATTTCTGAAACTTCACCGATTCCAAGTTACTTCCCGTTTCCTCATCCTGCTTCCCGTTTCCTCATCCTACTTCCTGTTTCCTCATCCTACTTCCTGTCTCCTCTGGATCATTGCCTCAAATTCTGTTCCCACAGTTTTGATCTTAGCTGCACCAGAAGTAATGAGGGTTGGAAGGCCAATCCCATGGTTTTCTTTCTAACCCAGTCCTGGCTCCTGCAACCAAGGAAGTTGGGGATGGAGTTGTTGACCTAGAGCTTTTGACATTTCCTGCTGAGCTAGCCCATGAGGCAGGTAGGCTTCGATAACCACCACGTTCCTTGCTCAGCAGAAAAAGGAAGCATGTGTTGCGCCTTTCCAGGTCAGGGTCAACATTTACCAAGTCCAGCATCACCTTCTAATTGGCTTCCTGGCTTCCATCTTGTTCTCTACTCTCAGTCTTTCATCAGGCAGCCACTGGTATTCCCCAAAGGCTTTAAAACAGAGTCCACATGGAGTAAGATGCATTGTCCCCATCCACTGAAACATCTAATTGAAACCCCTTTGTAGTACTACTTAAGGGTAATTCAAAAAACACTCTGAAGTATCTATCTCTTGGTCCAGCAGACAAGATGGCATCTCGTGTATCTCCAAGGTCACCTTTGGCCCTTTACTGTCTTATATTCACTTTGCCCCTTAGTCACATTAAATGGCTTGTTTTTTGTGGCTGCATCGTTTCTGTCATCCTCAGGCCTTGGTGTGCTCTGCGCCTTCCCTTTGCTTGGAATGCAACAGAAATGGAGAGCTGTCATTCTGTGTTCGGTAGAGGCATTTTCAGGGGAAGCCTTTCCTGACCTTTCCTGTACATCAAGACGTGAACTTGGTTACTCCTGTACATCCAAAGCTCTGCATCCCATATCATTTCACAGATTAAATATCAACATTGTCCGCTTCCTACTTTATGTTGGGTTCTCACACCGTAAGCTTCATAAAGGTTCAGGGTCTGCAGGCACGCTGTCTGTTTCATGTTTGCATTCCAGCACTCAGCACAGCACCCAGAACATCCCAAGCACCTAATAAGTACCCGTCCTCTCTGAATGAGCTCATGCAAGGCGGCTGCAGTTCCTGGGAAAAGAGAAAGGAAGAATTTCTGCGTTGTGAAAACGGAGTTTATCGGCTAACTGCTGGCATATTGTGGAGCCTCAGTAGCTATTTACTGGAGGAATGAGTTAAACAAACAGGAAGGTCAGGTAAGGTTATCATGTCTTCCGGAATGGTCTCTTCATTGGTTGTTTGGGAACTTGTTTGTGAAGAGAGGAAGGCAGTGCCACACAGCTGTAAACACTTTCAACCTGGAATCCTGTTTTCTTGGGCTCCATCGGAACTCTGCCTCTCACTCACTAAAAGATCTGAGGGAAGGACATGAATTTTTTTGTATCTGTTGCTTTGTCTTTAATTCAGTTCTGTTATGTGATTAAATGAGTTAGCATTAGTTAAACAAGGAAGCAGTTCTGTTTGCATATTAAAAAAAACCTAAGCACTTATTACCAAAAATTTGAAGAATTACAAAAGTAAAAAGAAAAAAAAACTCAACTACCATATTATTATCACCTGGGAACTCTTAGGGTCTGGGAAACATTTGGGAAACACCAATATTGGACTCCCTCAGGAAAGTACTTAATTCATCGTGAATGGCTTTGCTGTTTTTTGCCTCTCACAAGTAGAAAGTGTTATACTTCCTCACCAAGAGCTTGTTCACCTTAAAATATCTGGAAATCACTGTGGACAAATGGCCCAGGGAAAGGCTGAGGACCACATATTCAGTTAGAAGGCAACGTCTTTAGTAATTTCCAGCTGGTTTAACTAGTTGCAGGACTCAAAGTGGCCTAATCCCAACCAGCTGAACTCAGCTACCCTCCAAAGGCACTAAGTATTGAGGAGAGTTCGTATTTCCTTCTCCATTGAAACTATCAAGCGAACATCTCTTCTTCCTATTTAGAGTCAGATAGTATAGGGTACACATTGGTGAGTAGAACCATAAATGAAAAACAAATCAGTAATTTCCTGAGAGAACTATGTGTAAGGGATGTTGAGCAACTAGATGAACATGCAATTAAACATGTAAATAGATGAACATGCAATTAAACATGTACTATAGATGAACATGCAATTAAACATGTGCTATAGATGAACATGCAATTAAACATGTATAATAGATGAACATGCAATTAAACATGTACTACAGATGAACATGCAATTAAACATGTGCTATAGATGAACATGCAATTAAACATGTGCTATAGATGAACATGCAATTAAACATGTGCTATAGATGAACATGCAATTAAACATGTATAATAGATGAACATGCAATTAAACATGTACTACAGATGAACATGCAATTAAACATGTGCTATAGATGAACATGCAATTAAACATGTATAATAGATGAACATGCAATTAAACATGTATAATAGATGAACATGCAATTAAACATGTGCTATAGATGAACATGCAATTAAACATGTGCTATAGATGAACATGCAATTAAACATGTATAATAGATGAACATGCAATTAAACATGTACTACAGATGAACATGCAATTAAACATGTGCTATAGATGAACATGCAATTAAACATGTGCTATAGATGAACATGCAATTAAACATGTATAATAGATGAACATGCAATTAAACATGTACTACAGATGAACATGCAATTAAACATGTGCTATAGATGAACATGCAATTAAACATGTACTATAGGCCTGGCACAGGGGTTCATACCTATAATCTCAGCTACTTAGGAAATGGAGACCAGAAGAATCATGGTTCCAGGACCGCCTGGGAAAAAAAAGTTAGTAAGGCCCCCTTCTCAACCGACAAGTTTGAGAATAATCCCAGCTATGTGTAAGGAAAATCATAATACAAGGTTAGCCCCAGACAAGATCAGGAGAAGACCTTACCTGAAAGATAACTAAAGCCAAAAAACATAAGTACCTGCCTAGCAAGCACCAGGCCCTGAGTTCAAACACTATTACTATACCAAAACAAATCATTGCACATTTTAATTGTATGAAAGTGTTGAGGGGTATTTAAAGCTTATTGGTAGTAAGACATAAACTCAGAGTAGAAACAGTTAGATTAGCTGGTGAGATTGTAGCTTAATTCAAAAAGACTGATTTTTATGTGAAGTTTCTGTACATTAAAAAATCTAACTAGACAAGTGAAATAAATGGTAAGTCTTGTCTTTTATTATTATAATAGACATTAAAAAGAGACACAGAGAAGTAAGGGAATTTGAGATCAGACTTGAGTGAAGCTATATTTTGAGCAAGGGCCTCCTCATAGAATGGGAATGTGATGCCATGATTTTCCTCACTTCTTTTATAAATAATCCTCTTCTGTAATAGGTTGTGAGTTGTTTTCATTGTCAGAGTCATAACCCATGTCTCCCATTTGGAGAATCATTACAAGCTTAAATATATGAATAATGAATTTCGCCTTCATCTCTGTTAACCACTACTCAGTATCTCTTCTATCACAGATATCAGAGATTTAATAGAAAGAAAGATACCATTAGGACAGAAATAGAAAACTGGTCACTAGTGCCTCTCACCTATAATCCTACACCTTGAGAGGCTATTTTAGAGGCTAAGATTAGGACAGTCTTGGTTTGAGGCCAGTTTAGGCCTCAAAAAAAAAGTTCAGGACTTTATCTCAACTAATAGCAAAGCACAGTAGTATGCACTTATAGTTCCAGTGAAGATTGAGAAGATCACAGTTCCAAGCCAGGCTGGACAAGAAAATCATACAACTCTATTACAACGGAGCTGGATATGGTGGTACATGTCTGTCATCCCAGCTTCAGGCAGAAGTGTACGGGTACCAGATACACATCCAGGTACCAAGTGAGACCCTATTTCAACAATAAACAAAAAGATGGGTGGCATAGATTGGCAGTAGAACACCTTCCTAACAACACACAGCCCCTAAGTTCAAACTCCAGTACTGCTAAAAAAATAGACAAATATATCATAAATGATATATTGCTGTTTCTGTTTTTAATGGATAAACTATAGAACCCTTGATGATAAATATTAATTATCACATTGAAATGTACACAAAAGACATTTCAAATAAAAACGTAAGAAAATACTTTTATTCACGCGGCACTTTCAGAAAACATAACTTATAATCTTCTGCATATATCAGCTTATAATGTGGAGAGAGCGGGCTGGCTGTGGATGGAACCGAGTCCAGGTCATCGCCCGGTCAGGGTCACCGCTGTCCGAGTGGGCTGCTGGGCTTCTGTAGGCTTGGTTTGGATGATGGTCTTTCTGGCCCTGTTGTCCACGCTTTTGATGGCATCTTTCACCCATGAGGCTTGCGGGTCTGCACATATTTTTAGGCCACGTCTGGTAATAAATCTGTGGTACAAGGAAAAGATAGACAAAGTTAGCTGCCTTCTCCAAGCCTTGGGGTCAAGGGTTAAGACGGGAACAGATCTGAAAAGACCTTTCAAAACCATGAGAACACAAACAACTGGGTTGATCTGCCGTGACAGAGACGTGTCTGCAGGTGCAGCCGACTCCTGTGTTCATGGTTATTCATTCCCAGGCCACTTTTCTCACCAGGCTACCAAATTCTAATGAAACCTGGCACGGAAGACCGCCATGTTGAATTATTACTCTTCCTTTCAAATCTAAACACACTCATTTTTTTTATTATAAGTGATGGTTCTAAAGCCTTCTAGAGCTCATAGTCACATTTTGTAGAGCTGATACTTATAAAAACTGAGATCTTGAAAGGGTGGAGAAGTGGCGTCTAGTTCTTGACCCGTTCCTTTGCTGTAGGTCAATTGATAAGTCACAGCACTCTGTTTAGATGCCACCACAAGCATTCCACACTGGTGTGGCTTTGGTCAGCCAGCCACCTCTAAGCCCATCCCGAAGGACTGGATAAGGTATTCATCTGGTTTCCAGCCAGACTCTTCTGTCCAGCCAAACCAAAACAAAATATGTTCTTTATTTATATAGTACATGTTGACAAAAATTATGATTTGATGGGGTTTCATGAGGCAAGATTCATATGGACAAGTAAAAGTACTATTGGTTACATTGTAGCTTTCATCCATGTCAATCTACTTTTCCTAAAGAAGGAAGTACTTGTTACTACTGCATTTCTGTAATTCTAGGAATTCCACCATGCTTGGCTTTGGGAATTTGGAAACACTCACATGACAGCTTTCATGCTGCCCTCTTTGATAATGTAGGTCTTGATTCTGTTGATTTTCAGTTTCTGGGTTGTGAAACTCATACAGAAACTCTTTTCTGGGACTTCGCTTCCCACACCTGGTAGAGAGTGGGCGGGGGGGGAGAGGATAAATAAAAACCTGTAAGTCTGATTTGCAAGATCAAGATAGCAATTACCTGTTCACTTACTCTAAGGAATGACTTCTGCCGTCGCTCTCAATCTCTTGTACATCATAGCTTATTAATAAGTGTTTGATTCACTGGTTCACTGAGTATTTTGTGACCCAAGTGTTGAAAGCACTAGTTCAGATAGACACTACTTTTGTGTTATCAGAAGAGATAATTTCAGGTATTTGTAGGTATATCTATGCTATAAACGTAGTAAAGGAGAAATATAACCAAGAGTAATTTGGATAAGGCAGCGTGCAATGAACTGCAAAATCCAGAGTGTAGTCATACTCAAGGAGAATTAAATGGTTAAGTTTAGAGAAATATCTGACATCGCAAAAGGGACACTAACTTGGAAGAGTTCATCGTATTAAGCGTCTGGTAAAAATTGAATCTGAGTTTTTAGATGGATAGAGGTATATTCGTCATAGAAGAAAAATAGCCAGCTGAACAGGCTCAAAGAACCTCTCAGAATGATCGCGTTTGAGCGGCAGTGGTGCTGGTATTGGAAGGCATTTAAGTTTTTAAAATTGTCTTTAAGCAGTTGTATAAAGGAATTGCAGTTCAACATGTCAGTTGATGAGCAGACTTCACTTGAATCAATCTCACCCTCCATCATTCTGTCTCTCCATCCCTCCCCCTCCCCTGGGGTTACCTGTTTCCATTTTCACAGAGGTGTGCTGAATATTTTCTGTATTCACCCACCCACCGTTTGTCTGTGCTTTCTCCCCTTGTCCTCCCTTCTCCCGACAACACATCGTCCTCGTCTGAAGAGCTAAACTTGGAGTTTAACAAGACAAATACCAGGCAGCTGAAGCATGGGAAGCCATTTTTTTACACATAGGTAACTAAGCAAAAGTTGTCCCCACTGACATTTTAAAAATTCATTGTTCCTTTCCATTGTTCTCAGTGCCAAGAACATTGCATATTCTCTCCTCTCTGCCTTTGCCAATTTATTTTTAATGCTGAACTGTGGCTGAACTCAGTAATAAGAGAAAAAAATGTAGTTTTACTTTCTCTCACTACTTAAGAAGCAGTATGTTTTCTTTCCCCTGCAAAGCACATAATATGCAGCCCGAAGGCCCAGAGAACCCTATGCTACTATAAACCACAAAACTTGCTCCGCTCAGCCATGCTGGGTGTCTGTGTTAGTTGGTAAATCTTGCTTTCACTTAGGTGCAGTGAGTCAAAGCAATGATGGTTTTCCCTCATTTCTGTTCATCAGCTAGGCATGAGCTAGACTTACAGAGTCCTTCAAGTGGAAAACCTGATCCTCTGAGAGGAGGGAAAGTGGGAGAAAAAATGAGGGAGAGGGTACCAAGGTGGACAAGAAATGTACTCACTACCTGAGGTATGTAACTAACTCCTCTGTACATCACCTTGGCAATAAGATTAAATTTAAAAGAAGAAAAGGTGAAAGGAAGGAAGGAAGGAAGGAAAGAAGAAAGAAAGAAAGAAAAGAAAAGGAAAGAAAAGAAAACTTGCAACTCTGAGACAGCGTCTCACAGTTCATAATATCGTCCAGGATGTCACTCTCCTGCCAAATAATGCATTTGTCATCCCAGCAAAATGCGAGCCGTGTAGCACACATGGCCTGATTTAGTGGTCTTAAATCTTGTGGTTCCACCAGTATTTTTAATTTTCCCCGACTTCAATGAGTTCCAGGGTTTGCCACCTTTAGTCAGATTACCCACTGCGGGGTACTTATCAAGTTATGGTATTATAGTTTAAATCTACAAAATAGGATGCAGTTAACTCTATAAATTTAATCCAGCCAGTAGGAAAAATGGTCCCTTAAGAAATGTCTGCTGAGCCTTCTTGGAGAGAGAAAAACCAATAGCTGTTTAATTTTAAAAAGGAAAAAGAATGGAGGGAAGAAAGAAAAGAAAGGAAGGAGGGAAGAAGGGAGGAAGTGAGGAAGGAGGAAAAAAGGAAAGAAAGAAAGGATGGAGAGAAGGAGGAAAAAAGAGTATTTGTTGAATGCGCAAGTAAGGCTTAGTACTGCTGACCCTCACCTGTATGTTTTGAGGGTTCATTTGATTGTGTACAAGGTATTGGACTATCTGTTAACACATATTGTTATATAATCCTTTACAAATTCAAGAAATCTGTCATAAATTTCAACATTCATAGCAGTACAATAGATCCCTCCACTTACTTAAAGGTACTTTTTTTTCCCTGGAAATGACAGAATGAATTTCCAGTCAAACTGAGTTTGAATTTTTATTGTTCAATTGAAAACATTTATTTGCCTCCCAGCATACATTCTCATTCCCACATGGTGACAGAACTCTCAGAGGTTTTGAGGCTTAAACTACAAATGCAATCATAAACATCACCACCATTTCTATAGCTAACATGACCCAAAATTACTATTTCATAGTCATTGACTGGATTGGAGGTGACCACATAAATAACCCTTAAATAAATCACATCAATTTCATTTAAATACCAGCTGAGAGTGCCCAAAGTATAGCGAGACTATTGAGTTGGTTTATAGATTAAAATGTTCAGAACCAGTCTGGTTAAAAAATTTATTCCAAATCACCCAGTGAGGAAGATTTGGGGACCAGATCCTAACCAGATTCCATCTTGGAAGCCTACAGAATCCCCAAGAGTCAAAATGATCATCTCCCATTTTGCATGCCAGGCATTCTGGGGCTTGTCCTGGGAAAAGCCGTTTACTGCAGTCCAAGCTGAGTGGTGCCCTAACTCTCACGCATCCCTCGCTTACCTTCCACCAGGCCTGCGGCGAGACAGCAGACGGCCAGGAGGGTCAGGACGAGAAGTCTCATGGCTGAGCTTCTGCTGAGCTTTGCAGGCAGCGTGTGAGCCTGGCCTTGCCCAGAGCCCCTTTTATCTGCCACTGGTCCTCACTTCCTGGGGTGACAGGGAGATTTGGGGGGTAGGCGTGGTACCGTGGAAAGACTTTGCAATACCAATGTACCCCCCTTAAACACAAATTCCCTTACCTAGTGCATAGGAACACCACACCTTGTGGCTTTTTCCTCTTCTGCTGTGGTTAATGTGGTAACGAAACCAGCTTGTGCATCAATCACCATGCAGTTGTCTCATTGCAGCCCTGAGGCTTGTCAGTCAGATCTTCCACTGTCGATCAGCCCCCAAGTCCATGCGAATGTCTTGGCTCGGTGGTGGGGTCAGGGGTCAGGAAATGGAGAGGAGTGGTCACTCTGTTGGTCCTGCTGGCCTCCAGTGACACAGGGCTTTCCCACCATACACCAGGAGCTCCTGGTGCCCCTGACTGACTCTCTAGGAAAAGAGGGACACGGTTGCCTCAGAACTTTTCAATCTTTGGTTTTCCTTTCCTTCTCATTTCTCCTCTCTACACTCAGTCAAGTTACCCCCATTTCTTTACACCCCTTTCCCCACTGCCCAAGGTGACACCTTGGCTCTGCTAGAATTCCATGGGTTTATTACAAAGGTATTGAGCCCGGCACCAGTGGCTCATGCCTGTCTTCTTAGCTACTCAGGAGGTTGAGATCTGAGGATGGAGGTTTGAATCCAGCCCTGGGCAGACAGTCCCCGTGAGACTCTTACCCCCAATAAACCACTCAAACACTGGAAGTGGTTGGTGTTGTAGCACAAGTGGTAGAGATCTAGCCTTGGACACAAAGAGACAAAGAGGCTCATGGACAGTGCCCAGACCCTGAGTTCAAGCCCCACAGCAGAAAAAAAAAAGTTTTGAAAAGTTGTCCTACAATAACCTTGTTTTAAGGAAAAAAATGAGAGAAAACTATCCATCTTATTATTGTGATGATTGCCATTTTTAATGTTTTTCCAGTGGCCATCTATTGATAAACCTATGCTTATATCATTGTGATCATTATAAATACTGTTTAACATAAAGTTAAATGTCTTTTTATGTTTCTTTGTTCTTCATAGTCCAACCTTGAGCCAATATATATAGACACACATTGAGCCAATCCCTTACATTACTGTTATTAGAGTATATCTATATGGTATTTTTTAAAGTCTTTTGTAGGGGTTGAATTCAGGGCCAGGGTGCTGTCCCTGAGCTCTTTTGCTCAAGGCTAGCGCTCTACCACTTTTGAGCCATGGCTCCACTTCTGGGTTTTTGAGAGGTTAATTGGATATCAGTCTCATGGGGACTTTTCTGCCCGGGCTGGCTTCCTCAGATCTCAGCCTCTTGTGCATAGTTTAACGTTTGGCATTGTTCTAGGAATATGAAAATAACTTCCGGTTTCCATGAAAATCGTAGGTTAATCTCTAAGAAATGTTTTATTAGTGACATTTAATTTTTCAGACTTCACTCTGAACGTCTGAACCATTTTTAATTGTGGTCTATCTCTGTCTTTGATCCTTAGACTCTGAGTCTATTTTCCATTCCGGCTGCTTCTCCCGCATCACTCCGCGCTGTGGAGTGACGTGCTCTCTTCCAGTTCCCAAGGACAGATGAGTGGGAGCCATCTTAGACTCATTGAAGGAAGTCTCACACACTGTTGGTGAGGGTAGAAATTAGTACAGTCATTATGGAGAGCAATATGAAGGTTCCTCAGAGAACCTAAAAGAATAGAACGACTGTGTGATCCTGCAAGAGATACAGAGTCAACCCAAGTGTCAAATCAGCGGGTGGATAGATATAGAAAATTGATGTATGAATGCAAAGCCATGCTATAGCTACAGAATGTCATGCTATAGCCACAGAAAGGAGAAATCCTGGCACTGGGAAGGGAGGTGGGGGAGGGGAGTCAGGGATGGGGGGGGAGATGGGAAGGGATGGGAAGGGGAAACAAAGGAGGAGGCTACAATGCTTGATAAGAAATGTACTCATTACCTTGATCATGTAATTGTAACCCCTCTGTACAGTATTTTCATAATAAACAAACAAACCAAAAAAACAAGATGCTTCTGTCTCCTCTTATGGGTGGTGCTTTTGGAGCCTTATCAAATTCTTCTTTTCATCCAATCAGAAATATATTGCATTTCTTCTCTACTAAAACTTTTACAGTCTTAGATTTGATGTTTATATTTTCAACGTTTCTAGAATTAATTTCTGAGTGTAGGGTGAGGTAGAGAACTTCAAGGAAATTTTCTTTATAGAGCCATCTTTTCTAACTCTGTTTTGAATAGTTCTGCCTCTCCCCACACTGACTGTTAACGTCCCCATGGATAATCACCCATTTCAGGTGCTTTCTTCTAGTCGATTGCTTACTTTGTTTTTCTCCTTAGCCTCATTCTGAATCAGTTACCATATGCGTAATGCTGTATTAGTTTATCACTACCCCAGAAAACCCTTTTTCATTCTTTTTCCTCAGAAATATCTTGTCTGAAACTCACTAGTGAGTATGAACATTTGAAATTAAGTTGACAGTGAGACCCTCATTTTTGATTTTTCAAATGGCCAAGTTAATTATGATACTAGTAGCAGATATCATACACCTAGAGCAAATGTTACTCATGGCAATAGGAACCGTGATATTATGGAACGGTCAAAAATGACAATATATCCTTTGCATATTATGAAAATCCAGAAATTCTGCTTCTAGATGGAGACTTAGAGAATTGCAAGGAGGAGGACACACGTGTACATGATTTCGCACGTCCTACTGCTCAGCAGTAGGAGCAGATGGTAGTCTAGTATGCAATGTAATTAATTGAATGTATTAGGTCATATGTAGGCCGAGATGATGAATTATACACAATCATTTCATTCAGATTGGATTGATTAAAAAATAAATGCAGATATTCTGAACCAGTTGTCTATCTTGGATGTTTTCCTCCAAAAGTGACACAGGAAGAGGTGCTTTCTAGCCTTGACCGATGTCGTTTCTAATAGCTGAGAGAACCACATGGGAAAGGCTGACTACTTTTAAGCACAACATAAACTCCCCAGTGCTTTTTGCTATAATTAGTAAACCTACATTAACCTATTATTACAACCCTAAGTCCATAGGTTGGGCAACTATACATTATATAGTTGGTAAATACCAACTATCCTTTTCATATCATATGGAATAGTTCACTACTCTAAAAAAAATATCCTGTGCTCTACTGATGAATTCCCTCCTCCCTCAAAGTCTCCGCCCACTCCTGATTTCTAATGATTTCAACAACATTTTATCTCTTCTACTTGTCTTCTTTTATTTGCTTGTATACCTTTATTATTTTCATAGATTAATGGTTTTGTTTCTTTCAGGCACAAAATAATATTTCATTGTCTAGCTGTAATGGAGTTTATTTGTCAGTCATTAAAACTTCCATCAATATCCTTATGTAAATTTTTGGTATGGACATAGGTATTCAACTCATTTGGGTAAATATCAGAACACCATGGATCATATGGTAAGACTGTGCTTAGTTTTGTTAGGAACTGCTAGCATGTTTTTTGAAATATTTTACATTAATCTTGCTTTTCAACCTTATCAACATTTGGTATTGTCAGTGCTTTGGATTTTAGCCATTCCAACAAACATCTTCATATATACTTGTCATTTGTACATCTTTTTGCTGAACAGTTTTTTTTTCTTACAGATCTTTTGCCCAGTTTATTTAATTGGATTGTTTATTTTCTTATTGCTGAGCTTTAAGAGCTCTTTGTTTTAAATAGCAGTCTTCTTCTCTCCCTTCCTTCCTTCCTTCTTTCCTTCCTTCCTTTCTTCCTTCCTTCCTTCCTGTCTTGGGACTTGAACTCAGGGCCTGGGCACTGTCTCTGAGTCTCTTTGTGCTCAAGGCTAGCTAGCACTCTACCACTTGCGCCACAGTGCCACTTCTGGCTTTTTCTGAGTAGTTTATTGGCGATAGGAGTCTCACAGACTTTTCTGTCCTGGCTGGCTTTGAACTGTGATCATCAGATCTCAGCCCCTTGAGTAGCTAGGATTACAGGCATGAATCAATGGCACCTAGCTTGGATTGCAGTCTTTTATTAGATATATCTTTTGAAAAAATAGTCTTCCTATACGTTGCTTCTCTTCTTATTCTCTTCAATGTGTTTCTCAGAACAGTAGTTTTAATTTTTTCATTACTGCACATTAGTTATACACAGGAATTCACTGACATTCTCCCACAGGTATTCAATGCATCTGCACAAACTTCATCCTCTACACTCTTTTCTCTCCCACATTCCCTTCTTAAAACAGTTCCATTGTTCTCATAAAAACTAAAAAGGTTTAACTTTTTATCAAGTCAAACTACCCAAATTTTTCTATAGACAGTGCATTTTATTATTTATTACCTGTTATCTTCTAGGAGTTTGTTTTGTAATTTACATTTAGGTCTATGATGGGTTAATTTTTGTCAGTGGTGTAGGCTTGTATGTAGGTTCTTGTCTTTTGCATATGAATTTTCCAGTTGTTTCTGAACATTTGTTGGAAATTGGGGGAGGGTGGGGCTGTAGAGAGGAGGGAGAATTTTGAAAGCAGTGTTGTTGATCAAGATGCATTTCACGCCTAAGCTGATGTGGTGAACGGAAGCTCTTCATACAATCACTTAAAGATAATTTTAAAAATTAAAGACTTACCATCTTTCCTCCAATAACTTTGTTTGTTAACGGTGGGTTCACTCTATCCGTGTGGGTCTATTTCTATGCAGTCTCTTCTGTTCCTCAGATATATCTGTCTATTGTCCTGGCCGTGCACTTCTGGCTGTTGCTGTATTTGTGGAGTGTTCACTTGCGCAGTGTAGCCATGTAAGGGACCTTAAGCAGGACTGAGCACGCTTTGAGCTCCCACCTCTGGTGGGCTCTGGGGGGATCTGCTGCCGACTGTCCCCACAGGGAGACTGGAAAAATTATTTCTGATTAAAGCATGGGTGTTGCTTGCGACTAAGA